CTAAATCTCAAGAGGCCTCTTCTGGGCTGACTGCAGGGGCCAGGGTAGGGGGCCTCAGAGTTGTGATGACCTTCCCAAGCACAACCACGGCCTGTTGTGAGGTCTCTTCATAAGCCAGACGTCGACCTCTGCACCTTTTCTCCTAAAAGATTTATGTCGCCTGGGAAGAGGGTGAGCAGCAGCAGCGGATTAGGGTGACCCCTGCTTCTGGGAAGTGATCTAGCTTGTCATAATCCAGAGTGTGATTTTCACCTTTTGATGTTCATTTAGGGTCAGGAAGCTATTTTACATCTGTAACAAATGTCCACGTGAACTTTATATCGATAGCGATAGTATATAAAGAATCTATGCTGAATATGTATAGGTACATAATCGTATGTGTACACATATGAGTTTATATATGTCATGGATATGTTTTAAGTGTATATTTATACAAATACACTTGCACTAATATGTATGTAGACTATATACTTTTTTCATTAAAGATGATCTACTATCACTATGTATGATTCACTTTTATATTTGTTATTTTATTTCTGGTGCACTTTTAATGTTCTATTAAAAACAATTGTTTTGAGATGAAGAACTCAGCAGTTTCAGATGGTCATTAGTGCTTCATTTTCTTACCCGTAGGTCACTGGCATCTCTGGTATGAGGTGCAGTGATTCAGAGGCAGGAGTTTCAAAACTGTCCTCTGGCTGATGCTGTCATATGCTACCTGTGCAGCCCTCAGCTTCCTGCCCTTATCCACGAACACACAGGGACCAGCTCCACAGTCTTCTCTGTCCTCCAGGCCTTCCTCATGTTTTGTTTTGTTACGTTCATTCGCTTGTGTGTCTTTGCTAGTTGTTTTCTCTCTTCTGTGGTTTTCCAGTGTTAATTACCCATACTTAATCTCCAAACAAAGACAATAATTGCAACAAATATAATACAACTGTCCCCCACACAAAGGACAATACAATAACACCTTCCCCAAGATATCGGCAATTCCATCATTCTTAAAACATAATACAGCAGCTCAGACTTGCTTAGCATTTTACTGCTACAACAACCAAAACTGAAAGAAGCAAAGGCTTAAGTGGCTCATGTTTTCAGTCTACAGCAAGCTGGTTCCAAGGCAGAAATATCTTAGGAAAAGATTTGGAAGCACAAAATTCAGTTCCCCCATACAACTGGAAACACAAGAATCCCTTCTGTGATCTCAACAGTTCCAGCACATTTCAAAAATCAAAGCCTAAGTCTCTTCTGGGACTCAAGGCAAACTTTGCACTGGAAAGTTTGTGTGTGTATTCAGTATCAGCTACACGTAAATCCCTGCAACAAAGTGTTGCTCAGAAGTGGTTTTCTTTGTGTCCAAAACATAACTTTCCAGATGGCTTTACTATTTCTGAATGTGTATGAAATGATTCCAGTGTGCATTCTTTGGTGTAGTTTTATTTTGTCCCCTGAAACTCTATTGTCATGCATGGTTTTTGTCATGTCTTAGAACCATGCCGATGTGATATAACTTTTTCCAGCTCTGGGTGTGTGGTGTTCAGTACTTCTAAACTAGGACAGGAATGAATATATTAAGCTGCAGATATTGTCCATGTATGAAACCAACAAGGCATGCTCTAGGCCAACCTTCCTCCACCCAATCCTCCTCCAATGCTCTTTGTGAAGGAGAATCCTCCAGGACATGACAAACAACTAGAAAAGAACTTGCATAACCCTGCCCTCAGTCTCCCAGGTTCATGTTTGGTGGGGGTGCTAGACCAATGGCCCACATTCTCTTTGTCACAAGGATTTCAAGGTTGCCCTGTACACGGTGCTTCTTGTTTATATGTTCATTTTCAAAGTTTTAAAGAGCCTATATTTACCTCACTGTAAAATGAGCAAGTTTTGACTCATGTGTGGCCATCAAGGAATCACAATTACAATGTTGTTCAGAATACATTCCCTGCCCTAAAAAAATGCCCCTGCCTCCACCTAGTCAACCTTTCTTAACCTTCCTCCTCCATGAACCAGGGTCAATTAGGGTTCTTTTTTATGTGCATTATTTTGCCTTCTTTAGAACATCATACCTGCAAACATGCACTACACAGCTTTTCAAAACAATTTTGGCAATTTGGGTCTCCTCTCTTTTACCTTGCTCAGTCCAGCTAAATTTATGACTTTCTTTCTTTCTTTCTTTTTCTTTCTTTCTTCCTTTCTTTCTTTCTTTCTTTCTCTCTCTCTCTCTTTCTTTCTGTCTTTCTTTCTTTCTTTCTTTCTTTCTTTCTTTCTTTCTTTTCTTTCTTTCTTTTACCAGAAATTGAACTCAGAACCTTGGGCTTGCCAAGCAAGTGCTGTGCTGCTCAGCTATATCCCCAGCCCCAATTCATGTCTATTTCATCCATCTTTTCAAAATTCAAACTTCCCTCACATCAATTTTCCCACTTACTTTTATTCCGCATTTCATTCTGTCTACCCTATTCTGCATTATCCTTACCTTATTTATGCTGGCTATGGGTGGAATTGCTCTTTGCCTCTATGCATTGTAGGCAAGGTTATTATTTGAGGTCATTCTTTTTAATGTGAACATTGCACTTTACCTTTATGAGTCCTATTTCTGTGCATTCACTTATTTTGTGATACGCTTTTTCATTTTGTTTCTTTTCTGTTTTGCAGTGGTGGGGATCAAACCCCGTGCCCTATGCATGCTCGGCAGGAGCTCTTCTAACTATAGAGTAAGCACAAGCGATGCACATTTATGGTTTTGTTCACTTCAAGGTAACTACTAGTTTTTCTTCTGCTTCTCTTGTGCTTCACGGCATTTTGTTATGCTCTGAATCTTGTACCCTCATCACCAATCTCAGATGCTGGTCTACTTGCAGGAATACAGAATGTGACTGTGTTTGGCCATAGATTCTTTAAAGAGGGAATGGAGGTAAAAGATACTTCATTAGACTAAGCTCAAATTCAATCTGGTGTCATTGAAACTAAGAGAAAAACCTAAATAAACCAAGCCTCTATGTTTATTTGCTTTTAGTTACATCCTCTGCATTAACTTGAAAGGTTATTTCTACCTGTGGTTCTGCCTCTGAGCAAACTTGTTAACAGTCTGTCACCACCACTGCTGTAGACCCCTTTTGCCAGGGGGTGTCATGATGGTAAAATTTACCCAGGTTACTTTCCCGGGACTAGGAGGTCACTCATGTGGACACTATCTTTCTTCACTTGAGGTTGGGCAGGTATCTAATGAGTGATGGTTTGGTGTCAAAATCCAAAGCTTTCACATTTAGATCATGCTAATGTTTCTCATTCCTGAACATGTGATCCCTAGAGAGATATGAAAATTGATGGTGCACATGCAGACCACTGGTCACCTTTCCCCTAATTCTCCTTTATTGCATCAGAGTTGCTGGGGTGGCAGGTTTCAGCCACCATCCGTACTTTGCCAACTATCAAATAAACTCTGCTTTGCCGAATTTGTTCAGTGATTATCTTACTGTGTAGTTAGCAGAAAGGGCCTGATCTTAATGTCCTTTTGAACAGAGGATATCAGAACAGATAAGTAAGCATATCAGGGATATGCATGCACAGAGAGATGATCACGTCAAGAGCTATGGTTCATCCGCCACCTGCAGGGCAAGAACCCAGGTTGCAGGAAAATGTATACCTTCAGGTAATTCCACCTGGTCTTCCAGTCTCCAGGACTGTGAAAAAATGGATGCCTGTTGGTTTAAGTCACCAACTCAGTTATTTTGTTGTTATGGCAGTACAAGAAATCATATAGATGTATAGAAATACACTGCATCAGTTCTCTTTGTTTTGAAAATGTCTCAAATTTCCTTGTTATAGATTCTAGTTCCATGATCTTCTGGTCAGGGGAACATATTTCATATAACTTTAAACCTTTTGAGTCCTTTTACATTTATGGATGAGTGCTTTGTGATGTTTTATATGGTCTGTCTTGGAAGAAGTTCTTGTGCACTTAACAAGAGTATTGCTCCTGCTATTTTTGAGTATACTGCTCTCAAATATGTCTCACGATTATTTAACTTCAACTGCTTTTCTGGTCATGCCTTTCCATAATGATCTTTCACCTAATTGTACTACCTGGTATTAGAAGTAGTATGAATTGATCTGCTGGTTCTGTCATAACTGAATATGACAGCCTGGATGGCTTATAAAACGGAAACACATTTACTCACAATTCTAGACTTTAGCACAACAGAATGAAGGCATCAGCAAAAACCACTTGGTTTCTGGTGAAGCACCTATTCCTTGTTTTCGATGATCATCTTCATAGTTTTTTTTCTCTCTGCAGTATCCTAGACGGACCTCAGGGTCTACTGCATGGTAGGCAATCACTATCACACAGATACATTACCAGAACTTTTTAAAATTTGTTGAGATAGGAGCTCAGTAAATTCCAGAGTCTGCCTTGGAATTTGTGAGCTTCCTTCTTTAGCATTTTATCTGGAATGAGAAAGGTGGGACTTTGTGCTTGACCGATTGGTCACATAATTGCTGTGTCTTCACATGGATTTCTTGCATATGGGGGGGGGGGAGAAGAGGAAGAAAGAGAAGAAGGAAAAAGATCAAAAGAGGAAGAAGAAAAAGAATAGGAAGAGGAAAAGAAGAGAAAAGAGAAGGAAGAGAAGAAGAGGAAGAGGGATAGAGGGCAAAGAGCAGAGAAGAGAGTGGAAGAGAGAGGAATACTGACACCTGGTGTGTGCATTTTCTAACAAGGACCATAGGTCAATGGGAAGAGTGATCTACCCTTACTAACTTATTTCATCACAGTTATCTTCCTAAACAATGTTATTCCAAATAGAGTTAAATTGAGGGCTAAGGAAATATTTTTTAAAAACTTTTAAAAGTTTATTAGTACATGTTTGCAGTACATGATTACATTCATTGTGGGGAGTTGGTCCATGAACATAACACATCATAATTCATTTTACCTTCCCTTCCCCTCCTCTTTTCCACCTGATTTTAAGATCCTTTCTCATTTACAAGAAACTGATCTCACTTTATCATTTACCTTGATTTTACTGTTTAAATGATTTGCACATTTGTTTTCCTATTTAAGAAAAATCATGGGATAATTAAGGTTGTAAACCTGATTTATGTCACTTAATATTGTTATTTCAAGACGTATCCATTTTCTTACAAATGACACAAAATTATCTTTATTTCACAGTAGTATTCCATTTTGAATACTTTTATCAATTCACCTGTTGATGGACTTACAGGCGGTAGACAGCTTCCAAGCTTTAGCCATTATGAGTTATGATGCTATAAAGATGGGCATGACTGTGTCACTTTTATTTGCTGCCTTTGACTCTTTCTGGATAATACCAAAAAGGGAAATAGCTGCTCAATGGAGTTTCTCTGTTTAGTTTTTTGAGGATTTTTCATACTGATTTCTATAGTGGTGTACCAGTTTACATTCCCACCAACAATGTAGCAGGTTTCCTTTTTCCCATACTCTTGCCAGCATTTGTATTATTTGATTCTTGAGGATAACCATTCTTTCTGAAGGAAGGTGGAATTGTAGTTGTTTTGATTTATATTTCCCTAAAAGCCATACATGTTAAACATATTTTTGCATATTTATCGACCATTTGTTCTTCTTCCTCTGAGTTTCTGTGAAATTCATTTGCCCATTTTTTGATTGGGTATTTTGGGGACATGCCTAATATATAGATATATAGATACAGATATAATTTCTTTGGAAAAAAAATTTCTCTTTCTACCATTTTCCCCTTCACTCTAATGGTTATGTTCTCTGCTGTGCAGGACCAACATGGTGGAGCAGCATTCAGCAGCAAACTAGAGCCTCTCCAGGCCCAGAAATCTAGACACTTGGAAAATAGTAACTTGGAAGAGACAAAAATAGAATTATATCTCCAGGAATTGGGAAGGAACTCGTAGGAAAATTAAAAACTACAGAGAAGCTGGCGAAACAGAGCAGCAACACAATGAAAAAACAGGGCAGTCTGGAAGCTAACCCTGGCTCCCAAGGAGGGGAAGCCAGAACACAGGTAAGCCCCAGGGTTGAGGACTCCAGGGAGAAACAGGGTTAGCCTATGAAAAGCCCAGTGTGACTGCAAACTACAAAACTGTATGGCAATGTGGGGTGTTATGGCAAAAATGATTCCTTCCTCACAGAATGCTACATTTAGAGAAGAAATCAAATGCTGTACCCAACATACTGCCAGAGACTTTATTAAAATAGCCATTTGGGGAAGGGGTTATTTAAAACTGAGCCACAGAAAAACTACAAAACATCTTCACTTTAGAGTTCTAGTGTTACCCCTCCACAGTGACTGAGTGAGAGAGACAAAAATGGGAGATAGTCTCAGAGAGGCCACTCAGACTGGGAATAACACAGGGCCTTGCCCTCCGTGGAGAGAAGCCAGGCCTAGTAGGTGTGGCTTTCAGAGACAGCATGTTATGAAAGCTCTCATATTAAATCCAGAGATCTGCTTGAACCTTCTGCCTGTATCCAGCACCTACCAGAGGTAAAAGGGAACTAGGGAGAAGGAAGACAGAAAGGAAGGAAGGGAAAGAAAAAAAGAAGGATAAAATTAAAACAGGGCTTTGTGGACAGGGAGGGGAAGGGGATCTGAAAAGAAGGGATAGAAATGGGAAAAAAACAATGAGGAATCAAGATATACATCATGGACTAATACAAATTTCATACAGTGATTGTGATTCATATGTATCGCTGAATTGTACCAATAGACTTAAATTTAAGGAACAATTTAAACCAAAATAATATAAAGTGGACTCCCACAGAAAGAACAACAGTTTCTCCCATCCCCAAACTGCCAGGGTTTCACATTCCTCTGGGCTGCTCTCTGCTGGGCCACATCCACTCACTGCTGTCTTACTGTTCTGGAGGGCATCGCTCCATCTCCCTGCCATGGCTGCCGCCCCAGACTCCACCATCTTAAGGGGAAGAGTGTGTCCTGCTCAGCCTCATTTGCTCTCCACCACAGACACAGGGGCATTCCAAAGAACACTTTGCAATGAAGGTTTAAGTCAGTGCATCAGTGAGCAGATGGGGTTCTTTACTTAGAATAAATTTCTCCAATAATTTTGAATGATCCAAGCATATACAGGCATAGTTTTTTTTTTAATTTTACATAACAGCACACTAAAAGGGAAAAGGAAAATAGAATTAAGTGTCTAACATTTTTTTTTGTCTTTAATGACCCCATCTATTTCACAAACAACTCCTTTTACCTCGCCAAGAAAGCTTGTACTTCAATGCCATATATCATCCTCCAGATCACAAAATAGAATGGAAGATTTTACAATTTGTCTTAAAAACAGCAACACTCTTAAAATATAAAGAGCAATATGTTTGTTACCCACATCATTAAACATTTAGAAATTGAAGTGAATTAAATCTTCTATTAAAAGAAACAACTTTTGAAAACAATATCAAAAGGAAAAAAGTTTACAAGGCACCCACATAGAAGAAAAATGCAAAGCAATCGCTATTCTGCCTCTGCATACGTAGAAAAATGACTACTCTTTTCAAACACAGTTAAGGATGCCTCAGAATTCACCTGGAAGTAGAGAAATTGCTGGATTGGACACTGCAATATTCCCAGCCCTGGTCCTGACCCAAGTCATCATCCTTCCACTGGACCTGGAAGTTGAGCTTTGTCTTCATCTCCCAAAACTTCCTATAACAGATAATAAGGGCGTTGGGAGTGGTATCCTTGACCTCAGTCAAAAGTTTTGGAACTCTCTTCTTGCTGGCTTCAGCATGGGCTCTGGTACCCCACAGGAACTCACAAGCAGGATCTCTGTTAGGCATTTGTTGATACTCCAGGTACTATTCCAAATCCTCAGTGATGATACTCTAGGTACTGCACCAAATCCTCAGTGATGAATTTTCTGGGCTCCCCTTTGATAAAGCACTCCCTCCCAGCATATATTCCTATCTCATTCAGCCCTTCCCAAATGACCTCCTCGCTGGCATGGCTGCCCTGAAGAAAGATGACACCCAGGATAATCATCAAGAGACTGCTCTTGGGCATGCTCTCGTCATCACCCACCATCCCATCATAGGTGAGGCCTAGGGCAGGGACAAGAACATAGGAGTGGCTGGCAGAGTTCACTTCCTTCACATCAATGCCAAAGACCAGCTGCATGCACTCAGAGACTTCCCTGAAGATCACAGGGAAGTGCTCCTGGTAATTTGTGGTAACAATTTCCAGCATTTCTGCCTTGGGGGTTGGATCCTTCATTTGATACTTAATGGCCAGGAACTCCAATTCTGCCACCTTATTATCTATGACATCAGTAATCAAGGACATAGTGCCTGACAGAGCCTGTGAGGGGAATGAACATTCCCCTTGTTTCCTCCTAGAGGCCCCATGGGATTGGATTGATGGGGTGGCAGCCATGGCACTGAGGGGCAATAAAACTCTCTTGGGACACCAAGGTGCACCCAGTGTTCCAGCAGCAGAAGCCTCCTCTATGGTGCCTGTGATCAGAGAACAGAAGGACAAGGAGGAAAGGCAACCAGAAGGAGGGAAAGAGGTGTCCTCATCTTACACAGCATAGGGAACCTGCCCACCCACCAAGCCCTGCATCTCACTTTTGTCTTGAGGGTCTTCCTCAAGCTGGTAGTGTTTTGGAGATCCAGACATGATGACTCAGGTAATGTACAGCAAGCAGGAGTTTGGTGAACAGAATTCCGTGGCCTGGAGGAGAGAGAGTGGTGAGCAGCCTTAGCTGAGAACAGCACTTTGGGCGGCTCTCCCAAATGATAATTACAGTTCATCTTTCTGGTGGTGCTATGTGGCCTCATAGGCTCCTGCCTTGCTGTAGATCCTGCCCCTGAGAACCTGGGACAGAAAGTGATATGACTCCTCGAAGTGCACCTGGTCCACAAGGGACAAGACTGTAGGGCAGATGGTAGGTTAAATGAAGCCAGGTATTACAAGTTCCTTTAATCTGGAAGGGTGGGGACATTGATAATCATTCATGCCATGCACGTCACCTTGACTCCTGCCTCCTCCACTGAAGATACTGCTCCGTAAAACTCTCACCCCGGACCCTTGTACTCCTATAAGAGACTTGGAGGAACCCTGCCTGCAGACCTGAAGCACAGTCCTGCTCCCCCAGCCCTTGCAGTTGGGGTAGGCTGGACTCTGAGGTTTCCGCTGTTCTGAGATGGATGGTCCCCTCTCTGATCAATCAGGGCCCTAAAATGTCCCTGGGCAGGGCTTGGACCCCAGCTCTCTAGTTGCCCAAAGCAAACCTCAGAACAAGCTACCAACTCCCTGAGAATGAACAAAAGGTTACAAGGGACCTCATACACACCTGCCCAGGGCCAACAGGAAAAGGTAGCCAAAATCAGTGGGGTCCTAGCCCTAGGAAGGGATACCTGCTCAGTCATCATCTTGATGAATTCAGAGGTCCAGGACTTTCCCTGTGATGACAAGAGCTCACCTTCTTCAACCCTGAGCCCTATCATGAGACAGTCAAAGATGCATTCTCAGAAAATCAGTCCCTCTACGGTATTGGGTCTTCCCATAAGTGATAGAAGAGAGAAGTTGAGGCCAGGTATATCCTCTATTTTCAAATAAGGGGCTCTCTCTGCCCACACCTAGACTCCTAGAAGGACCTGGGATGCTTGTGCCCCGTCCTGGCTGATAACAGTGGAAACCAAGCTCTGAGAAGTCCCAACTTTTTCAAGGGGTGGAGTATCTTCATACCTGCAGTCCTCACCAAAGTTCCTCACCTTCATTCCTAGAAGATTCTGGCCTCCTCTCTCTGCTGACCAGGTGTGGCTCCTCTGCTGACCTAGTGACACACCAAACATCAATTTGGTATCCCTGGGACCAGGGAGAAAGAAGTAAGAACGTACCCTTGCTGAAAACTCCTGCATGAGGTGTCCCCAGGCTTTGAACAGAAGAAGCAGTTCCAGGGTCCATCCTTTATTTTTTAGCTTACCCAGGTATTCTCATGTACCTTCTGCTGACCTACAGGTACATCTTGCAATTCAAGGTCATCATTTCTATATGATTACAGAGGTGGAAGCAGGTGTTGGGAAAACAACAAAAATCAGGGGAAATTATGCATTGCACCTCCAAGGTCTGACAGGTGGAGGTTGCCCTCTGATCAAGAGAACAAGGTCACCTCAACTGACCTCCCCTTGAGTCCTGGAAGGTCCCCCCACCCCTCTGTGGACCTGAGCTCTCTTCCCTCAGATTCATCAGAATGCAGGACACCACTCAGTCTGAAAGCATAGGCCAACTAGGTCCTATGTGTCACGTGTCCTGGGCTCCTGAGTCTTGCTTCAGTTCTCCACTTGATTAAGACAGGGCCTGGGCTCTGCCCCCTCCTCAGGCCACACTCCTTCCACCAAGCTATTAACCTTTTTCAGACCTAAGTGCAGAATCAGGAATCTCCTGCTTGGCCACTTTGCATGCAGCTTCCCTGGACTAGAATAGGGGCAGGCTCCTGTGTGATGCTCCCTGTTCTAGAGTCTACAGACCCTCCTTCATGGCCAAGACTATCATCATTTTTGGATCCTCACCTGTATTAGTTGGGTGACCAGACATCCACGCACCATGCCCAATGCTTTTCAAGGCTTATAACTAGGGAAGAGATATGTTCCAAAGGGCTCCTGTATTGGGGTGGGGTGGGTGCCCTGTTTCCCTTTCATAGGTCATGACATTGGTTCCTGGCAGTCTGAACCCCTCTCCCTGTTTACCTGAGTGTGCCTTGTCACATCAAGGGTCTAACTTTTAGGGCTCCTGCGGCCCAAGAGGGGAGCAGACACATTCTGACAAGCATGGCCCTGTGTGGTCCAGGCCAGACATGAAATGGACCTGCACTGTTCAGAGATCCTGTCTCTGGGCTGGGGTGACCTTACCTCCCTCGGGACTTTACCTGGACTGGGAAGAGGTTCTCTCTGCTCCCCTCACCTAAAAGTCTGACATCAGAATACAGCTGTTGCCTCTGGCTCCACAGGCTAAAATCAGTGGATGTCAAACATACTTTCACACAGTTGACAAGAGGTGCTAAAAGGGATTCTCTTGGGGCCCCTTCTGTCTTTCCTCAGACTTCATTTGGTCTCTGCCAGAGCTAGGACTCCAAGTCTGTTCCCCTCAGGCCAAGTTCCTGAAATGCAGGGACTCCTGAACCAGAAAGGTCTTTCTGGGTATAGGCTCCCCTGACAAGCAATCCCTGGGGTTCTAGACAAACAACGGAATTCCAGAGCACCCAGTTATATAGTTATCAGCACCAAGCACAGAGTAAGACCTGGGTTATGTGGGAACCTTCTTTCTGAGCAGGGCATTGTCAGTTCCCTCACAGCTTATCAATCTGACTTAACTGATTCCAAGTCCTCTCAGCTCCATACACCTGAAGCAGAGACCTCAGAACAAAGCTCTCATACCTCATCTCCTGAGGCAGGTGTAGAGAAGGGGTCTCATTCCTATAAACCTGCCCTTGTGTGGTTCAGGCCTGACAACAGAAGCAGATCTGGGTTAAGTGCAGTCCTTCCTCGGCCCTCACCTTGACCTATCTGAGCCCAGTTCTCCACTTCGCCTCTCTAACGCCCAGGCCTCAGAACAAGGCTCTAACTCTGCACTCAGGGTCTCCAGACATAAGGGGGCCCCTGCCTGAGAATTTTTACCTAGAATGCAAAGCAGATCTGGATTGTTGGAAGTCTCTCTCTGGGATGAGGCTTCCGCACTCTCCCACAACTACTCAACTTGACCTAACTGAGCCTGGCTCTCTCTGACCTCCTGACTTGATGAAAAAAGATTGAGAAAAGACACTTCACATCACTCTTACTCCAAGAGGCAGGAGTCAGTGGATATCACAGCTGGCAGCAGGAGCTGAATGGGATTCTCCCGGTGACCCCCCCCCATCCTCACTAGTGGTTATTACTTTAGTTCCTGGCAAAGCGTGGACCTCTGTCCTCTGTAGCTGAGTCTGCTCCTCTAGACCCAGACTTGGAATCCTAGGTTCCTCTGAGCTAGAAAGAATTCTCACATGAAAATCCTTCCTTAGGGTGCAGGGCTGACAAAAGAGTCAGATCTGATGGTTTAGAGACCCTGTTTGTGGAGTGCACATCGTCAGTCGATGTTGTAGTCAGGGAATACAAGGGAAAAGATTTAATACAGGACACATAATTTATAGGATTATTTTATAATAGTCACCCAAATAGTCAAACGCAAGAGTGCAGAAGCTCTGTCCACAAACTAGAGACCCATAGAATCCAGCTGAGGGCTGTATCCCACAGCGATAACCTGCCTGAGTCCCGCTTGAAGCGGGACAGTGGCTCATGTGAGTCTCATCAAGGATCTACAGTGGGAAGGCCCAAAGGTCAGTGGTGGTGTGACACAAAAGTTAAAAATCAACAGTCTAATGCTCTGTTAAGGCAAGATGTGCTCACCCAGCCCACCGCATAATTAGACCACTAGACTCAACCTTGACTGACTATGTCAACTGCCATATAGAGATAGTCCAACATGGCTCAGTCTGACCTCATCCATCTGGTCTGCCTGTTCTGTCTGACATTTAAACATATTCTATTTTCAAGACTGTCCAACAGAGATAAACTAGTCAAGGACACGCTTAGTTGCAACCACCCACTCAGCCCCAGCACCTGCCCCCACATTTTATCCCACCTTATGATAAACAACCCCTCTGACTAACCTGCCCAGAACAAACCTGCCTGACAATACATGACTTGATTCATGTAACCAATTATATGATAACCTGCTCTCACCTTTTTCTCTTCCTAAATGTATATAAATATCAGCTTTTTAAGCTTCCTAAATGTATATAAATTTCTGTTTCACTCTCAGTCGTACCTGGTGTTTGGACTTGGTTCTGCCAGCCTGCTAACTTATAAACAGTTGCCAGGGTCTTCCAGTTTGGTTTGATATCAGATGTCCACAACAGTTAAAGCTAGAAAGTCTACAACAGTGGGATAAAGGATCTACGCCAACAGCCTAAGAGATCTGCACTGGAGCCAGGAAGCAGCACTCAAGGTAGGATCCAGCGCCCCCCTAAAGAAAACCACAGCATCCTCAGTGACAGCAAGGACCCAAGCTCCTCTGAAGATGAGAATACCTGAGTTCGTATCAAGAAAACCAGCGAGACAGGCTCCTCCAGGAGAATCAACAGCTCACCATCTTCCCCTCCAGTTTTCTTTTATGCTGTAGGCAATAATCCTCAGGTGGGTCATCCACACCCAGAGCCATGCTGATTCAGTTCAGCTGTGTGTTACAAGTTGCCCACTAGGTAATCCACTGCAGTGTACCCTTAAATCTCAAGTTGACCCGAACACACCCCAGTCCCTTCCTGAATCCTAGAACTCAGAACAAGACCCTGCCATTGGTCTGACTCCAAGAGCAGGGGTCAGTAGAGAGCACATCTGGTGACATGTCACTAACAACAGGAACTGAATGAGATTCTGTGGGCCCTTCCGGCCTCCCTAGAGGTAATTACCTTGGTTCCCAGCAGAGGCTGGACCCTGGTCCTCTGAAACTCAGCCGGCTTCCCTCTATCTTCTGCATTCCCTGTAGTGGCAGCCATGAGAGGGGAGGAAAGTGGTCAGAAT